CAGACAGACAGAAGACAGAAGATCAAACTTTGGACGCATCCTGACGTATTCTGCGTTATCTTCTCGGTGGCGACGCTTCCTGTGAACCACAGACTGTTTAATTCTTCAGTTTGGTGTCAGGAATCTGCTTTTAAATGAAAACGTACTGATGCACGATGTTGTTTGAATTTTGGTACAAAAATAAAAAAGAGATGAGACGTTCCTCCGTCGGTATAAAAACTCTTTTCATCTGTTTTCATTTTTTAAATAACAGACTCCATGAATAAATAACTCACTTTAATTTACACGCAGACTCAAAACTAAAGAATAAAACATTTTTTCTGAACTTTAATTCAGAACTCCTGTCTGTCTATCTGTCTGTCTGTCTGTCTATCTGTCTGTCTGTGGTGAATTATTGATGTGTGCGTCTGGCTCTTGACGTGTCTCTGCCATTGGAGTTGGTTCTTTGATCGCACACACACACACACACACACACACACACACACACACACTCTGACTACCTATATTAACGATGGTTATCAAAGGCTCCACTGTGCCATCTGGCAGCTCATCAAATATTGAAGGTCCGTCTGCAGCAGCGACGGCTCTGCACACACAAATATATACGGCCAACATGTGATCTGTATTCACGCTGAATGTGACCAATGGAGAAAGTCGGAGAAAACTCCAGTGGAACCTTGGAGGGAAAAAAGTGAACTTATGAGGTTTTATTTTGATTTCAAAATGAAAAATATGTTTATAAAATTGTTATTTAGCCTCTCTGCTTATTGATTTTTTTATATTTTTAATTTGTATTTATTTGTAGGATTCTAGTGTACGAGGACAGCGGGAGGAAGTTTGTGTGTGTGTGTGTGTGTGTGTGAGGACAGTCAGTGAGGCAGCATGTACTAACTGTAGTTTTTATATGTATTAACGTTAATAAAGTTTATTATTAAAGATTTCAACGTCACGGCCGAAGTTTTGAATGGAAAAGAGGAAGAACAGCAGACGGGTGGGTCAGAGGAGGTTAATTGTATTGTGTGTGTGTGTGTGTGTGTGTGTGTGTGTGTGTGTGTGTGTGTGTGTGTGTCTGTGTGTGTGTGCAGTGTGTGTCTGTGTGTGCAGTGTGTGTGTGTGTGTGTGTGTGTGTGCAGTGTGTGTGTGTGTGTGTGTGTGTTTGTGCGTGTGTGTGTGTGTGTGCAGTGTACAGTAACCGACAGTGGTCCAGCTGTCCTTTAGGCGTCTCATCTGACCTCTGACCACAATACTAACACACTATCCCAACTATCAGCTGTCACACCAACAAATCTCACCCCACGCACGCACACACACACACACACACACACACACACACACACACACACACACTCCTCACCCTGTGTGTGTCCAGTACCTGTGAGACTGCTGCTGTGACAGGCAGCACATATGGGCTATTTGCATATGATGCCTCTGCTGGATCTTCAGCCTCACCTTGAATGTGTGTGTGTGTATATATGTGTGTGTGTGTGTGTGTGTGTGTGTGTGTGTGTGTGTGTGCATATGTGTGTATATGTGTGTATATGTGCTGAAAGTACTCGTCTCGGAGTTGCAGCTCAGTGAAAGTTTGTCCTCGTCTGATTTTTTCCTGCTCTTATAAAAACAACTTGTCTCTGAATTATTTATGATCTGTGGGTTTTTTTTGCTTCTCGTGCTGCTTCACCTTCTTCTCCTCCCTGAATCTAGTTTGTAAACTCTCTTCCTGTCTCGCTTTTATCAGCTCTTGCAGATTTTTTTATTATTTTTTAAAAACAAACTTTTAGCAGAAGCTCTCCCTGAACTGTCGCCTCTCCGCGGGACTCAGCTCGGCCCCCGCCGGCTGCAGAGAGCCCGGGTGACACGGTGATATCGGGGCGGCGTTATTGGCTCCAGTCAGCTTTATCTGCGGCTGATGGGCTGATTCAGCGCTGAAGCTGCACACGAAGCAGACGGAGAGAGAGAGGGAGGGAGGGAGCTCTCTGATTGGCCGTTTGACCCAACGAATGAGTGAGTTCACCCATTTTATGCACAGTCACAACTGGTTATATCCACAACAGCACAATGCAACCGACAGAGACACTGATAGACCTCAGAGTCACCTCAGTCATACATACACTACATGTACTTACTATATGTAACTTTATTACAACAAATAGAACAAATGACTCACAGACAGAGACGATCGGGTCGATATGAAAACTTAATGTTGCGATACACGATATTATCCTGATAATCATGAAAACATATTTTATAGTTTTAAAACATAGGTTACACACTAAGTTAAGAAACACACATATTTATCTCCTTGTTCTTTATTTTCTTCCACACATTCAGTTTCACTTTATTTTGTAGAGATACAACAGGAAAGCTGAGCCTTCAGTCGGGGTGATGGTGAAGGTTTAGGATTGATTTTGTTCAAAATAAATCAGGATATCGATATAGGACTGTGTGCTGGAGAGATAGACGATTATCCTGATAATGGAAACAAGGTTCCTGCGAGTCCTGGAAAACTACTTAGAGACTAGTTTTCCGATCATGAAAACACCTGGAAATTGAATAAAATGACCAAATATCCTGGAAATAATCCATGTTGTCCTGGTAATGTTTGTATTTTAACCCCTCGCTCAGATCGCCTAAGTAAAATCTTCCTAGTTGCCTGTTTTTACAAGAAGTACAAAGAAGCAAGTAGTTCTCTGATTTTTATTTCATGTGGATTTTAAAATCAAGAAGGCATCGTGACTCCCTGTGAAGCTTTGGCGACCCCTAGTGGGTCCCGACCTCCAGGTTGGGCGTCAGTCTTCAGGTTGTTCTGGTGTTGAACGGCTCTGAGGCCTCGTAGGTTTCTTTATTCTCTTTATTTATCCTCTCTTCTGTTCAGACTAATGACCTGAAACTGATCAACACAAACAGTCTTTTGTTGCTCTGATGCATTTTCCATCCAAACAGGATTATTATTGATTGAATATGAAGAGATCTTCAGCTGCTTCCTGTGCTGCGTATTGATGAGACTGATGACAGCTGATATCTGCTGTCAGACTGCTGGAGAAATATTTGACTCCGTGTCCTCAGACTTTGGACTTGTTGTCCACAATCTGGTGTTTCTGCAGGTTTTCTGTTTGTCTTGGCAACTCTTGGCCTCGTGTTTGCAGACTGGAGAACAGATCATTAGTCTCACTGACATTTCATTTGACTCACTTAATGTTTCTCATTATTGATTTTAGTCCAAAAGCAGAATTTGAACATAATCTAACACATTTGTCCTCTGTAAGGTTAAAGTGTTGTAAGTTCAGTAAACACAGACGTGACAATCTAAGGTTAATAATTGACTATATTGTGTCAATATGCCATCAGAGATAAATTAAAGGGTATTTCAGTCACAAGGTCCCAACTGCAAACTATATCTCTAACAGTATCTTCAAACTGGAGACGTTTCTAACATGAAAACTTTGTCTTCCCGGCAGTCCAAAGCTCCTGTTCTACCTCTGTAAAAGCCCGGTCCCAGGCATCCAGCTAGGGTTCCCACACACCCTGGAAAACCTGGAAATTCAGTTTTCCAGTCACTGAAACACCTAAAAAATTCATTGAAATTACCAAATATCCTGGAAATAATCTATGTTGTCTTGAAAAATGTTCAATGTCAGATTGCTCACTGCATCATTAAAAGAAACACAAAACTCGAGTTAAAGTCAATGCTAAGCTAAGCTAACTAGCTCACAGCAGATACATCTGGCAGCAGTTAGTGTCAGGAAACTGATTGTTCCCGGTCGCTCGCTGTGTTCGATCCCGGTCCGCCTGATGAGTTCGGTTGCCCGCTAACATCAGACATAGTTAGCAGCAGTTCATTATCTGTCCATCAGGAAACTCTCCATAAAATCTAATCACTGACAATAGTTTGACAACAGGAAATAAAGAACTGAGATGTTTTTATTGCCGGTTTTGGGTCCTGCCACCATGGGGCTAGTTTGGCTGCACGAGCTAACAGTATCTAACATTACTGTTAGCGACAGTTAGCTTCTTTTAGCAACGAGTTCATCAGGAAACTCCATAAATGACCTCGGTACCGCTGTCCTCTGTCTGTCCTCTGTCTGTCCTCTGTCTGTCAGTCTCTGTGTTCACTGGGAGGTTGCTGAGCCCCGTTCAGTTGCTAACGCTAACAGCAGCTACATTAGCAGTTAGCTGGAGGACATCAGAGAGAAAAGCAGACAATATTGTCTCCATAAAATCTGATCCAGTTTCACCAGAATCTCTGATAAAGTTGTTTGTACAGTAATCAGTGAGCTCCGCTAGCTAACTAACTAATGAATCTTGGCTCTGTGTCGCTGAACGTTGCAGATTGATTGACGGGTGAATGTCTGATATTATTGGTTGAAATCAGTTAGTTCATGCTGACGTAAGCACGCGTCACATTTAGTTTTACAGGAAGAAACAATGATTGGAGTTTTTGTGAATGTTATTATTATATTTAACATAAATTGTTACATAGAGGAACAATGTAACTGAAGATCTTAAAGGGTTCAAATGACCTTTTTAATTTCACCTGGACTTATAAAAACAGTGATAAAACAGATACATGTTGCTTTAAGTTCAGGATCCATCTTCCTCCGCAGTCGCTTTATAAACTTCATTGAAGGAACTTTTTTACTGCCTGGTTCAACTTTTGTGATTTCTTGATCAACCCTGACAGTTTGAGAGTGGATCAGAAACACTGTGAAATCTCCTCAGTCAGATTGTGGATGTGTGAGAGTGTTTCTCTGAGTCTGAGAGAGTGTCTGCTTTCATTAGAGCCTGAATGTCTGTGATTGGCTCCTGGTGGGAGGCTTTTGTCTGAGAGAGAGAGAGAGAGAGAGAGAGAGGGAGAGGGAGGGAGAGAGAGAGAGAGGGGGCAGGAAGTAAGACCAGGCAGCCTCAGCTATTGGCTGAGCCTGCGTTGGGAGGGCGGGGCCTGTCCTGGTTGGGTGGGGGGAGGTGGTGCTGCTGCAGTCAGCCTCATTCTTCTGGAGGAGCCGAGCAGAGAGAGTGTTTCTCCTCACAGTGAGCGCCCACCGGCACACGAGTGAGCACAGGAGGACTGTTGAACCACCGCAGACAGGACTCTGACAGCGTCCTCCAACCCAGGCAGGGTGCACCGTTCTGGGGGTGAACTCTGCACGGACTCAGCCTCTTCCCTCTGGAGCTCTGCAGTCTCTGGCTTGCCTCAGTGTGTGTGTGTGTGTGTTTGTGTGTGTGTGTGTGTGTATGTGTGTATGTGTGTGTGTGTGTGTGTGTGAGAGTGTGTGTGTGTGTGTGTGAGGACAGTTTTGCAGAGCTGTTACACACCTTCTGGATTGGAGGCGATGCCAACTCCTCCTGCAGAGCTTTTTCCCTGTTTCTGGATGGATTTTTGAAGGGTTTACAAATCTCTCCCCCCTCTCCCGTGGATTAGGATATGGAGTGATTCCTCTCAGAACAACAGTGGAAGTAACAGCCTCCCCATACACACACACACACACACAGGTGAGGGATTTTCACTTTCTGCCTCTGTGGGAGATAAACACAGTTTGTCTTTAATGCTCAGATCCGACTGAACAGCTTAAATCTCTCCAACAGAAAGTCTGAGATTCTGCTTTTGTTGGATTATGATCATTGCTGTGTGTGTGTGTGTGTGTGTGTGTTAGGTCCATGTGACCTGTGTGTTGGATAAGCTTCATTCTTACCCACTGAGCCATGTTCACACTCCGGCCCCGTGCTTTTACTTTTACATGTGGATATTTAATCATTTCCCACACGTTAAGAAACACCTGCTTTAATTCATTCAGACACATTTTGAGGTCATGACTTCCTCCTGGATGCAGATAAAAACCTAAACACTATCACGACTGAGAGCTGCTCCGTACTACGCTGGTTCCCCACCGCGGTGCTTGTGTGCATCCTCAAATAAAAGCTGCAAACAAAAGCTCAATTAGTGGCCGTTGGTGCAGTTTTAATGAGTAGAAGAAGACACATGGAGGTCGATGATGAGAGACTTTATTAAATTGTAATCTGGAACTCTTTTTAACAGAAATACTCCTCTACTGATTTATTCACTCTATTCCTTTGTGATGTTAAGCTCCTGTTAATGAAACTCTGAAGCAATCCTTTTATTTATGAATTGTGAAGATGAAGGTTTTGTCACATTTTCCCTCCCCTCCTCTCCCCCTTCCTCCCCCCTCCATGGTGAGGGAATGGATAATGCCTCCCCACGATCTGTTGAAAAGCTTTTGATACGACGCAGATAAAGAGATGAAGGTTGTTGTTGTGCTGCGTGTGCATTTGTGGCCCTCAGTGATCGATACCTCTGAACGGACCTCCTGCAGTTGCATCCAGTAACCGCAGGTGGCGCCAGATAAACTTAACTCTTAACGACTTCAGTGTCGGCATACACGGATCGCTGTGGGTATGAAGGAATTCTGTCAACTTTAAAGGCTTTGACTGGAATTGTTTTTCTCTAGCTACATTAAAAAGTGCTTACATTTTACTCTTAAAGAGTTGTACAAACACCAAACATTGTTAGTTTAAAGAGGACGGATTAAATGTCCGCAGCGGTTAGCTTATCGGCTAATTCACATCTATAATATCGAAACATGGCCAAATATAAGACGGATAACAAAGCTGTGTTTGTGTTTTCAGTTGATTTTAATAAAGGCTGGATGTCAAACCCCATTTTTTTATATGTGCCAAAAACACCTGAAAGCTGAGACTGAGCTGAGTCCTGAGTGGTCGCTGATATCTAGAGAGCAGGATGGCTGATGGCTGATATAAAATACTGACAACAAAACAAAGAAAGTTGTGTATAATTAAGGAATATGTTTACTGTAGGATGCATTACAGTTATAGTTCAGGCCTTTTCTCACAAAAGGAAGCTGCTGACAGACGACGTCCGGTTACCCTTTCAAAATAAATGTGGCAGTTTGGTTAGGAAAAGATGAGTTACGTTATGCACCTGACCATCAACTCTGACTTTTGGCTTCGACCTACTTAAAGTCCAACCCCTCCATCCAACCATCCAACCATCCATCCGTCCAACCATCCATCCAACCATCCAACCATCCATCCATCCATCCATCCAACCATCCATCCATCCATCCATCCGTCCAACCATCCGTCCAACCATCCATCCGTCCAACCATCCATCTGTCCAACCATCCATCCTTCCAACCATCCATCCATCCAACCATCCATCCAACCATCCATCCGTCCAACCATCCATCCGTCCAACCATCCATCCAACCATCCATCCGTCCAACCATCCATCTGTCCAACCATCCGTCCAACCATCCATCCGTCCAACCATCCATCCGTCCAACCATCCATCCATCCAACCATCCATCCAACTATCCATCCATCCGTCCAACCATCCATCCAACCATCCATCCAACCAACCATCCAACTCATCCATCCATCCATCCGTCCAACCATCCATCTGTCCAACCATCCATCCGTCCAACCATCCATCCGTCCAACCATCGATCCAACCATCCATCCAACCAACCATCCAACTCATCCATCCATCCGTCCAACCATCCATCTGTCCAACCATCCAACCATCCATCCATCCAACCATCCATCCGTCCAACCATCTATCTATCCATCCGTCCATCCATCCCTCCTGCTCTCTGTACTGCGCCTTCATGTTTTTATGTGTAGATGCACTGGTTCCCGACCTTTTTCCTTATTGTTTGATAAACTGACTCAGTGACATATTTTATTGATATTTCATATTATATTAAAAACTGTACAAAGAACCCAAAGCTCAGTAACTGCAGGACGTTTGAGCAGATTATTTCCTGTTTGGGGACTTTTCTTCACAGAAGTGAACCCACTGTGTATATTCTTTAAGTTTTCTTACACCCATTAAAATCAAAGGCCTCTCGACCCCCCCATAAAGCTTTGACAACCCCCAGGTTGGGAACCACCGCTCTAATGGCTCGTCTCTTACACACACGGCGTGATACTGGGCTTGTAGCTGCTTTATGTTAAACCTGCATTAATATTTCTTTTTGGCCACCTGGGGGCAGAGCGACACCTTGTAAACGAAACACTGACATATTATGACCATATAAAGTTTACACTTAAAGCATCCAACTGCAGCCCCTCTCATGCAGGTAGTATCGCCCCCTGCTGGTCGGAGGGATTATATAAGTGGGTGATGGGTGATATAAATGTGTCGCAAAACCAAAACCTGGAGCTAAAAGAGGCTGTAAAGCCGTATAAGCACTGTGTGTAGATGAGAGCGGCTTTGAATGAGGAAAATGTGTATCGAATACCAAAACAATAACCGGCGCACACACACTCTCACGCACACACACTCACACACACACTCACATTGTTGGTTGTAGCAGCTGTTTCTTCTGTGACGCTCTGCTGCTACCCCCCCCCCCCCGATAAAGAAAATCCTGCATGGTTCGCCTTTTGGCAGATGAAATGCATCATGGGTGCGTTGTTGTGTCTTACAGCCTACAGACGTTATGTACACTGCAGCGAGGGGCTATAAGGTCAGTTAATAATGCAGGTACAAGAACACAGACTGTAAAGTTTACAGATTTAGTCGAATATGACGCCGCACAAATAATTTATAAAAACGAGAAAGAATTCACTACCCAGCGATATAGAAATGTGTTCTTTGATATGTGAGGTTAAAACTCTGGAGCTGAAGTGCAAACATTTCAGTCCAACAAAATATATGAGGATTTATTCATCCAGTTTGTGTATAAAGTTATTGTTAATTTCATTTTATTGTTATTTTGTTCACTTTATACACTGTAAAACCTCACAGCATATCCTCCAGTTCTCATTCACTGGACTTAAACCCAACTCAAAAATCAGCTCTTGAACTAATAGCTCATTTGTTTTGAGTGAACTCAAATTGTGCAGGATTTCAAAATAAAATGACAGTTTGTTCCATTTACTCATTTTCTTTAAGTTGATTTTATATAACTACACAAATGTAAACACAAAAGCCCCAAAATCAAATAATCAACTACCATTTTGTTTTTTATCGTACGTCAGCTGTTTTTACAGGTTACGTAATAATTAGGAAATTCAATGTAAATGGAAACATTTGTATAAAGAAAATGTATTTAAGTTCTGTTAATGCATTTTTAATACGTTTTGGAGAAATGCTGCATATGAGTGTCATTTATTTACTAGTTTTAAGTTCAATAAACTTGAGTTACTAGTTAAATTAGTTCTTCCTGTTGCTTTCGTCCCCGTCCGACCTCCTCGTCTGTCTCCTGTCCCTCCTTCTAATAACAGAGCTGAACACAGAGCGGTATTTAAATATTCATCAGCTGTTGGACGGCGTGCCCGAGCGTGGCGCTGGTAGGGGAACTGTAGTAGCAGCACTTGGCTCCACACTTAACCCGTCCAGGAAGTGTGAAATCAGATTTAGGAAATGAGAAACACCGGTTGCGTTCGCTCGGAAATCCCTCAAGTGTGCGATTGGAATTCCTGATGTGTCGCCCTCGCCACTGCACCTCGGGCGCTTTTATGCTAATGAGGCGGTTGGTTGGAGGGAGGCAGCGACGCGTGTCTGAGTGGTAGCAGAGCGTGGAGGCTGCGAGGAGGAGGAACCGGACCTGTACTGGATCTGATGGTGTAGATCTTAAAGGGGCGCCAGCGTTTTCTTACACCTGAAGATCCGTTCACACCGCTCTACCTGTGTGATGTCATTAGTGATGTCACCGGGGTTGTTTTACTTTGAGATGAGCAGAAAGTTCCCGTAGCAAACCTGCAGGAGATTGAAAGTGGTGGCAGGGAGGGTCCAAGGAAAAGACCGGTGCATTGTGGGAAATGTAGGATGGAGTGTCTGCAAAATCAGTTTCTTTCTATAAAATATGTTCAGTAAAGTCCAAGTTATGAAAATAACACGACAGTTTACTTCAGATAAAATACAATAGTCTTGGGCTGCAACTAAAGATTAATGTCAGTGTTGATAAATCTGTAAAATATTAAAAAATAGAGACAAAACGAGCAAATTGAAAACATTATGTGCCTCTAACAGTCTAAAACTTTACAATATTAAATTAACTGAAGTGTATTAAGGAAGAAAAGCAGCAAATAGTCACATTTGAGAAGCTGGAATTTTTGTTTAATGGCTGAATTGATTATCAAAATAGTGGCAGATTCATTTTCTGCCAATCAATTAAAGTGTGTGTGTGTGTGTGTGTGTGTGTGTGTGTGTGTGTGTGTGTGTGTGTGTGTGTGTATGTGTTTAAACTAAAGGTTCAGTCGAGCGGTCAGAAACAAAAGCAGTCCCGTCCTCCAACGAGTCACTGCGCTGTGTAGCCGAGCGAATAATTACAGAGCTGTTTGTGTCCGTGCGATTACACTTCGCAAATGATGGTCATTGTGATCAGTTTGTGATGCTGTCTAACCTGTTACCGTGGGCGACAGATGGCCGAGTTGGTAATTAATCATAAAGTAAGAGGAGGAGGAGGAGGAGGAGGAAGAGGTGGAGGAGGTTGCAGATAATAAAT